CGTTGCATTCTGTGGTGCTGGGAGGTGGCCCAATACCACCATAGCAGGAGAGTGAACACTTGTTCTCGGGAGATGATAAAAGTCTCTGAACTGAAGGAAACCAGATTGGAGCTGTGTGACTCAAGAGGCCCATATGTCATCATCTTTTTGAACTAAAAATGGATGGGTGAGCCTGGCACAATGTTTATCTGTACTTGGCTTTCCTGAGTCATGTACAGACGAAGTTCCCATCTATTCCCTTCCTTCTTGGGTCAGCTGAGGATACTCATTTCTCCTTTAGGTATGTTCTGCTAGGACCTATTCCTGACAGCTGGAGGTTGGCCAAGTGAGAACAGAAGTACCTTACCAAATGTAAACCACATTCTTGCCTGATGTCCAGTCCCTGGCCTATATAGACTCTGCCTGCCCAGTGTTCCAATTGTGGTGAACCCAGTGTTTCTCAGGACTCACTGCTGCCTGGCCTGCTGGCTCCCCCCAAAGGAGGAGGTTTTGATAAACTCTCCGTGAAGATAAAGCCAGACTATAGTCCAGAATCATTGTCTTCTGTAATTCTTATGGAAATTCCCTTTCTTTGCTTAACATTATTTTTGTGGGAAATTTTATCGACGTTGACATGTTTAGCTCTAGCTCATTTATTTTCTCAGCCATGCAGTATTCTAGTTTGACTATACTGTAATTTATCAAGCTGCTCTTGTGATGTTTGGACTTTTCATTTTTTTACATTTTGTTTTTGCAAATAATGCTTCTATGAATATTTTTGTGAATGTTTCTCTTCAAACATTAAAAGAGTTTCCCTTTGGTACTTTAATAGAGAGGAATTGCTGGATTAAAATATTTGTGCATAGCTTAATGGGTATTTGAAAATTTTCCTAAGTCATTTTGCTAACTTGTACTTCTCCCAGCAATGTTTGGAGTTCCTGGTATTCTACATTCTTACCAGCACCTGGTCTTACAAGACTTAGTAAGTTTTGCTAATTAAATGTGTAAAATACATCTTTGTTAGGATTTTCATTTTCATTTACATGTACTCAGTGAGGCTGAACATCTTTTCATGCTCATTGGCCATTAAGATTTCCCATTCTAAGACTTTTATGTTCATATCTTTTTGTGTGTACTAATTATAATATTTAAAGTGTAATAGATGAAAAGAGAATGCACAAGCCTTACAGGTATAGTTCAGTGAATGTTTATAAATGAATTCAATGCAACTATACAGGCATATTATGTATCCTTTGATGTATTTTTATTTTTTGTTTGTTTTGTTTGAAGTTTTGGGTCAGGCTCAGCAACTTAGTGAGACCTTATCTCAAAACAAAAAATAAAAAGGAATGGGGATATGTACTTTGGTGGTGGAGTGTCCCCTGAGGTCAGTCCCTTTTACGGCACCTCAAGAAAAATATAGTTGGATTATTGAATGTTTCCCTTAATGGCTTGTATTTTATATTTTAAGAAATCCTTCTATATTCTAATGTCATAAATATATTCTCTTAATTTTCTTCCAATCATTTCAAAGTTCTGTGGTTTTTTTCATGTACCTGAAGTGGTTGTATGTGTGCATGTAGTTTATCTAATTTTTTTCCATATGGATAATTATTATTTAAGCACTATTTATTAGCCATCAATATCCTCTGATCTACCAGTCTACCACTTCCATTCATCGAGTTCCAAATGTGTGAGTCTAACTTCTGAGCACTTCTTTGTGTTCTATAGATATTTTTGTCTAGTTTTGTGTGACAGTAGAGAAAAGTAAAAAAAAAAAAAAAAAAAAAAAAAAATTTCTTACTCATTGCAATGTTCATGGTTGAGATTTCTATGGAAAAAAACAGTAACAAGAAAAGAAGCATACAAATTAATTTAATTCTGTTTTACATGATATGGGAGCCTTTGGAATAAAGACTCAAAGAAGCAGGGAAGCCACTGTAGTTTTGTGCTTAGGTTTGGTATCTTATGAATAGTCTTATAGAAGTGTGAATTGGGCAAAGGGTAGGGGGTTGATCTAATGGTAAAAAAAAAAATAATAGATTTTTCTTAGTGTCTCTGTCTTCAAGAATGAAGCTATTCCTTTGGTTATACACAGGGCACCTCTGGAATGAACTGCTTCAGGGGAAAAGAAGATGAGGTGAGTGATCTTCCTGCTTCTGCTGTTTCTTCAATGCCAAGGTGCTACAGTTTGCAGTAGTATGAACTCCATCAGCACCAATACGGATGACCTTAATTAACTTTATTACAGATTTTTATATTGGGTGTAAGCAAATATCACTCCACATTCTGTGCCATAAACTCCTAGCTGGGCTTGGAACCATGAAAGCATTCAAAGGGTCCCACAAATTCCCATTGGTAAAGGAAAAAGTGCACCAGATATGTGGTCACAGGGTCTAGCCCCAGTTCTGCCTGATCTGGTTTTATGACTTTGGATAGGTCAGGCTTCTGTCTGGCCCTCATCTTAAAGCATGCACAGTTGAGTGGCTCTATAAGGTGTCTTTCAGCCCAGAGAACCTCAGCTTCATCCTTCCTTTTTGCCACATTTCCAGCACCCTCCCTGCTCTGCCCAATAAACAGCAGGCTGGGGTAGAATCCACTGCTGAAGAAGGATGTCTCCAACCCTTGGCTTATTGGTTCTTGTGTTTGAAGACTAAACTGGATTGTCATTCCACCGC